CGGCAGGCCGCACGCTTCGTAAAGACCGGCTGGGTGTTGCTGGCAAACAGCCGGCGCTGCGTGCTCCTGGTAGCCACATAAATACCCAGCCCCGTTAGCAATCTCAAAATCCTGGCCCGACTAACGGTGACAGCGGTGCTGCAATTTCTGTGAGCGGTACGTCATGTAAGTACTCTTTTATCAGTTTTTAATTTCACGTGCAGCAGGGGCAGGTTAAAAACAGCCTGCCACTCTCTCTTCTCCAGCACTTTGCTTTGTACACTCTTTTAAGTTCCCACTGAGGCAGATAATCCCAGCCTTGTAGATCTGTCTCCTCATAGCGGGTTTTGCCAAGTCTCCTGATCGCTTCTGATGCTCTTCCCAATTCTCTCTAGCTCTCTAACACCGCTTTCCGGACAGGGCAGCCAGTCCCCAGAGCGCTCGGTGGAGGCAGTCCCGGGGATCGAATAAAAGCGCAATGATCGTTACAAGCGTGCCTCTCAAGCGTAAATTGTGCAGCGATTTCCACTGACCTGCATAAAACGACCCCTTGGTCCCTTTCTTGGCTGGACAGATGTATAGATTAATTGTAAATAGATCTGGTTTTAGCTCCACATGTTAAATAAACATTCAGTTCTCCAGTGCTTTGTCCGTTTCCCGGTATTTTTCTGGTATCTCTGACATTCCTCACAATCTTCACCCATCCTCATTAGCCTAAATAATTGTCATCCCTTTATTCTGCTGTTACAATCAAGAACTGTACCACACCACCGATTACACTGTTAACACTTTGCCATGATGAAAATTGACTGTGTACCCCTGAAGTTTTAAGCCTTCCTGGAATACCTTTTACTAAAGGCACCAGATCTCACTGCGTACCTGCTTAGCTTTAGCAGAAGCTCATGGCCTGGCTGAAGAGCTTTAATAAGTCTAAATAAATTGTGTCAAATAATTTTCCTTTTTTCCATTCCTTACTGACATTTTCAAGTAGTTGTGCTGTGACTGTGATCATCTAAGGATTAAGTGAAATAAGATTTGTGGGCAGAGGTAATAACTTTTTATTAGACCAACTGATATAGCTGGAAAAAAACATACAAGTGTTTCTGTGCCTGAAAGCTTGTCTGTTTTTTCCAGCTATATCAATTGGTCTAATAAAAGATATTATCTCCCTTTACAAACCTTGACATGTTCAAGGAATTCAGTAAGTAAGATGTGATTTTCCTTTTTTGAAGCCAGGCTGGTTAGGCTCTATGAAATGATGATCTTCCAGATACTTCCTTCTTCTCTTTTAATTACAGATTCAAGTATTCATGAGGTAGAGAGGGCAGTTTTCACCTAGCCCCACGTTTCACCAGCAGGGCCACGGGAATATGGCCCTGCATGCCCACTTCCCATCCATTCCTTGGAAGAGCTGCCACAACAGTGCAGCTAGGCAGATACCAGGAGACGGAGAGGACAGTAGCCCCCAGGTTGCAATAGCTACTGCAGGATGTCCGAGTACAAGCGTACATTTGCAGCTGACTTTCTTGATCAGGAAAAGAGCATCCTAAGGGGAGCATGATAGCGTCCAGAGCAACATCTGCTAAAGCAGGATGGCATCCCTGGGGCAGGATCTTTGGTTAGGAGTGCATTGCCAGCTGTGGCCCCAAAGAGGTAGCTGGCGGGGTGTTCCTACCGAAGGCAGGGTAGGAACAGTACGGGGAGCCACCCTGGACAGACTGATCATGAAGCAGCAGGACCCGTGGGTTCACTCGTCTGGAACTGACACCCCCCCCCCCCCCCAAACCCCTCCTCACCATTTCCCTGGGTCCCCATCCCAGACACCACCCCACTAGCACATCCCAGCTCCCCCCCCCAAGACACGTTGTGCTTCTTGCTGCCCACACCAGTGACAGGAGTCTTGGGCCGATTGAACGAGGGTGGAGTCCACGTGCGGCAAAGAAAACATTTAAGCACTTGAGGAATTGAGCCTTGCCTCAGAACTTTGACTTCTGACTTCAGAGGTTCTTGATGAGAGAGAAGAGCAGAAGTGCAGAAAGAATGAAACCTAAAATCTGTCCCGCCTTGAGTCCCTCTGGTCTCCTCCACTCATCAGAATGGGGTTGGTCACCCACCTGGACACATTTTTGCCTGCTTGGGGAGGGCAACAGGGGAGAAAGAGTTTTCATCCATCATTTTATGTTGTGGCTAAAATGGATCTTGCTTGCTTTAAACATTGAGGCCACCTTTTCTGAACAGCTTAATTCTCCTCTGCCCTGCTGGTGACACCACAGGCAGCATTTGATCCTGGGCCTAGAGCAGCCCCACTCAGCCGAGAAGGAGACACAGTTACCAGGACAAATGTCTGGTGCTGCTGTAGCTGTCTAAAGCCATTTTCTGTGCTTGCTTCCTGTCCAGTTCAGGTCCATGGTGCCTGGGTTTCTCTTTCCCAGCGTACAGTTTCAGATGTATTCTCAGCTCTCGGTCTGCCTTACTTGTTCAGCTTTGTCCTCACTATAAATCACACTGCTGCCACCCCCTCTCATCTGAACAGCAAGTAAGAACTACGCAAGCATTCCATTCATGGACAAGTTCTCACACCTAAGCATGGACTCTCTCCATCTGGTTTCAACCCAAACCCGATCACACAGAATAGGACTAACAGAGTGCCCCACTAGCACTGTTCGCTGTTGATTACTCCTTGACTGGGCCTATGAATAGAGCTTGTGTCTGGTCCTCCTTCTACCCAAGAGACAGTGGGGAGAGTCTGGGAAAGCAATCACACTTGAGCACTCCCACATGCTTCTGGTCCTAGACCACCTTTAGAGCAAGGGCACACACGCATAGTTAAAGCTACAGCTATGGTGGAAAGCCCACATGGTAGCACTACTGTGGGAGAGAACAATGACCACCTTATTCAGAGCGGCCAAAGGTTTTGTTAAGCAGCTCTCTGGCAGCAGTAGGATTTATGGGATGCAAGGCAATTCCAGGAGCAACCAGTGACACAGCGCTGTGCCTTTCTTCTTCACCCAGTCCTCAAGTCAGGCGGCCAGCCAGACTCCCGATTTCGACATGGGCCAATTCATTGAAAACATTAAGCTTCCACTGGGAAGCAAAGCGCTCAGCAAAGACTGCTGCCATAGTCTGCTCCACACTAGCAGCACACTGACAGCACCAAGCACTTCAGTTTGATTTTTCTGCCATTTTTTTCTCCAATGCACCTCCAAGTATTAACCTCATATCTAAGGGTTTTTGGAGGAGGGGAACAACTGCGAATATTCTGTTATTTGTGTGGGTTCCAGGACAAAATCTCCTAACAATTGCAAAGCTTCAAACAAGGGGTTCCTCCCTCTGGAAGGGACTTTATAGGCAGAAAAGGCCCATGCATTTGCCTGTCTTGATCTCCATGAGAACAGCTGCTGTTCAGGTTATATCAGCCCTAGCTCAGACTGTCAAACCCCAGTCAGGGTTGCCGAGCGTGAAATATTTCCTACGATGCTCACATGTTCAGTAGCCCTGTCGCGCTCTCCCTCAGCCCAGATGGATCCCAGCGTCTCCAAGACGTGCAACCTGTTAGCGACTGCTGCTCGCAGCCACCACTGAGCTTCCCCACCTCTTCTCAACCCAGAGAGAGCAACGCCTAGAGCAGAAAGTGAGTGGCCCAGTACTGGAACTGGCACCACACCTACTTCCTTCTTCTCTGCTATGACTTCCAAGCAGTTAAGTCCCCACTCTCAACTCATAACAGAAAAGTCTGCTCTCAGCCATTAACAACACAACCTTACATTTTGTACTACTGCGTTTCATCCCATTTCTACTGTCTCAGCCATCAAAATTGCCTACCCCCTCCTACAGGATATCCCAGTCCTCCCCCATATTGACAATGCCTCCCAACTTTGGATAAGCAGCCAATTTCATTAGCATCTCCATTTTGGCATGCCAAAATCATTAATGAAGACTGGGCCTGGGACCAGCCACTGGGGAACTCCAGTAATCTCTTATAATTCCTGTACTTATCTCCATCTTAACTAATAACTCATCATGCAGCACTGTAGCAAATGGATTACTGAAGTCCAAAGCAATCAGTTCTACCGCATTTAGTGTGACCTCCAACCTAACACGGGACAGAGGAGGTCCCAGAGCGGAAAAGCATCCAGAATTCATTTCAGAAGTGCATGGGGAGCTCTAGAAACATCCATCCCGATCTACATAAAAATATTCCACGGATAGCTAACGGTAGCGCTCAGACTTTGCACCTTACTCCAAGTTGTGACTCACCTGACACCGTCTTAGAGCCACTAGATCTTGTTACATCTTTGTCTGCTCCATCAAGGCACTCAGATTCCTCTTCCCTGAGCAAAGCACACGCAAACTGTGTGCAGCTCACCCTTCGGTCTCCTCAGAGCTGCAGGGAACGGGCTCACCTGACGTCCAGCACCCCCAGCCGCCCCACGGATTTCCTCTGAACCTCTTCCACACTCTTTGTCTTCGGTGAGCCGCTGGCCCCTGAGCTGGCAGCGCTGTCCCAGCCCTAGAGCCCCAAAACATGCGGGAAGGCTCCCGCAGCCCAGCCACGGATCAGCTGCACTGCTGCCGGACACCACCCCCTCCAGGCGCCGGGGCCATGTGCCCCTGAGGCCCACCTCTCCCGGAGCACGAAGCCCCGGGGAACTTGCTTCCGCCAAGGGCTCTGCCCAGCTCCTGCCCTTGCCGCATCTTCCCAACGGCACAGCCAGCCCGCTGGCTTCTTCTTCGGCAGAGCTGCCAGTGCTGTGAGCGGCCGCGCCGGGTCAGGCGGGCACGAAGCCGCCGTCCCGCCCCGCACCTCCAGGCGCCTCGCCAGCCCAGGGGTATTCGGCTCCCGCTCTGTGGGCCGCCGGGAGAAGGGCTGGGTGGTGGGGTGGGGGGTCCCTGCGTCCCTGGGGTGGGGTCCAGGTGAGGGCGAGAGAAGGGTGCCCGCTCCAGGGGCTGGGAGCCCCTGGGCTTCAGGGCAGCAGGCACAGGCCCAGCCCGGGGCAGGGTGGAGGGACGCTGTTGTGGCAGGTGGCCACGGTCAGGGCCTGCCCCAGGAGAGGAGCCCTCACAGGCCCAGGTCACGGAGCCGAACCTCAACTGGGGACGGTGTTTCGTCTCCCGCGTGTGGCCCTGGCCCCCCTCGAGGGCAGCGGGTGCCCGAAGCAGCCCCTTCGCTCAGCGAGGGCTGCCGTGGCGGGGGACTCCTCAGCGCTCCAATGGCCACCTGCCCTC